AGCAGCGAGCCAAGAGAGAAACTAACTGGGCCCAGTGTTGAGGGAAAATCATTTGTATCCCCAAGAGTTTCAGAGCCTAAGAATGGATTGTTTGTGACAGCAACGGTAAGGGGAAAACAGACAAATTTACTGATAGACACGGGCGCAACAGACACATTACTCTCCTCGACACTTTTCTATGAGATTCCGGCTGAGCAAAGACCAAAGTTGACGGGATTAGGAGCCAATGTCAGGACGGCAGATGGAAGTCTCCTGCAGACCTTAGGGGGCGGCTGCGTAGACATAAAGGTTGGAAGGAGTACGTACGCAGTTAATGTGGTATTCGGCAACATTGGGAGTCTGGAAGGAATCCTGGGGATGGATTTTCTGCTCGCCACCCAGGGGAGCCTAAACTTCAAGACCCTAGAGCTGACTCTCAACGGCGAGAAGGTGAAGTGTACAGACACCCAGGGGGGAAATTTCTGTGCAAGAGTGGTGGTAGAAGAGACCACCGAGGTACCGGCAGGGCATGAAGCGATAGTACCGGGGCGTCTTGCGGGAAAGACGCAGGCAGCAGGGTTAGGCATAATGGAGCCCGCTGATAGGGGCGAGATTTCCGCAAGGGGAATCGTGATGGCGCGCCTACTGGTAAGGTTGGATGAAGAAATAGTGCCAATCCGAGTGTTTAATCCTGGCAAGCGATTATGTGTAGTGAAGAGGGGAACAACTGCGGGACATCTCACCTCTGTAGGCGAAGGTGATGTTGAAGAACGCCTAAGGACTTCGCAAAAGGCTGAAGACTGCGTTGAAGTTCCCGAACACTTAGCCGATTTGTACGAAAGAAGTAAGAACGGTGTCGACCAGAAGTACCACGACAAGATAGCGGCATTACTTCGGAATTTCCATGACGTTTTTTCATCCGGAGAAGCCGATCTTGGCCGCACAAATCTGATCCGCCATGGGATAAATACCGGCAATGCACCACCTATACGAGAGCGACCAAGACGGTATCCTACACAGGAGCAGCAGGAAATCCAACGCCAGGTGCAGGCGATGCTGCAGGAGGGCATCATAGAACCAAGTGACAGTCCGTGGGCTTCCAACGTGGTCCTAGTGGAGAAAAAAGACGGAACTAAAAGATTCTGCGTTGACTACCGTCGCCTGAATGCCATAACCATCAAGGACTCCTATCCAATCCCTCGTATTGACGACTCCCTAGACTCGCTTGCTGGGTCCAAGTGGTTTTCCACTTTGGACCTGGCATCAGGATACTGGCAAGTGGAATTGGACCAGGAGGCCAAACAGAAATCTGCCTTCGTAGTGAGAGGGGGGCTATACTCCTGGCGGGTAATGCCCTTCGGGCTTTGCAATGCCCCCTCCACTTTCGAAAGGTTAATGGAACGGGTACTTGAGGGTCTCCACTGGGAAACGTTGTTGGTCTACCTTGACGACGTCATAGTCTTTGCACATACTGTGGAGGAAGAGCTCTCTCGCCTGGAGGCGGTGTTCGTTCGCCTTCGTGAGGCAGGGCTTAAACTTAAGCCAAAGAAGTGTGAGCTGTTCAAGGAGAGCGTGCTTTACTTAGGGCACGTAGTATCTGGAGACGGAGTAGCAACGGATCCTGAAAAGGTGGAAGCCGTTCGTGAGTGGCCTGCACCTACCAATGTGCGGGAGGTTCAAAGCTTCCTGGGATTAGTGTCCTATTATCGGCGTTTCATCAGGGGTTTCGCCGATGTGGCTCGCCCACTGCATCGCCTTACGGAGAAGGCTCGGAAATTTGAATGGAGCGACGAGGCCGAGGGTGCTTTTCAAGAACTGAAACGGCGATTACAGGAGGCGCCAA